CACACGTGGGCCGGGGTCGAGCCTGTACACATTCACTGTTCTGTCTCCTCCTCCTGCGTCTGGTCAGGTAGATGCGTCGGGTCAGGTGTTTACTGCAGCGTCCAGGTCTGGTCCTGAGTCTGCCCCCTGCTCGTGTCGCCTCCTGTCCCACGAGACCCTCCTGTGGCACCACCGCATGGGTCACCCCTCCCTGCCTCGTCTCCGGGGCATGGCCTCTCGCCTTCTTGTCTCTGGTCTTCCCCGGTCCCTCCCTCCCCTTCCTCCGGGGCCTGGCCCTCCCTGTGTCCCCTGTGTCGAGGGTCGCCTGCGGGCTACCCCTCACTCCTCCCAGTTTCCTCCGACGGAGGCCCCGATGCAGACGCTTCACATGGACGTGTGGGGCCCAGCTCGCGTCCGTGGACAAAGTCACGAGCGCTACTTCTTGCTGGTGGTTGACGACTACTCGCGTTACACCACAGTCTTCCCCTTGCGCAGCAAGGGTGAGGTCACTGAGGTGTTGATCGACTGGATCCGCGCAGCTCGTCTCCAGCTCAGACGGAGCTTCGGCTCGGACTTTCCTGTTTTGCGTCTGCACTCGGACAGAGGCGGAGAGTTCTCCTCCGGCCTTCTGCGAACCTACTGTCAGGCGCGAGGCATCCGCCAGACCTTCACGCTTCCGGACTCTCCACAGCAGAATGGGATTGCTGAGCGCCGCATCGGCATTGTCATGGACGTCGCTCGTACGTCCATGGTGCATGCGGCTGCCCCCCATTTTCTGTGGCCGTTTGCGGTTCGGTACGCAGCGCATCAGATCAACCTTCAGCCCAGGGTCTCCAGACCGGAGACCTCCCCAGCTTTGCTGTGGACGGGGAAGGTTGGCGATGTGTCGGCGTTCCGTGTCTGGGGATCTCGGGCGTTTGTCCGCGACTTGTCTGCGGACAAGCTGTCCCCTCGTGCTGCTCCTTGCGTCTTCCTGGGTTTCCCCCCTAACGCGCCTGGTTGGCAGTTTTACCACCCCACCTCTCGTCGTGTTCTGTCCTCCCAGGACGTCACGTTCGACGAGTCGGTTCCCTTCTACCGGCTCTTCCCCTACCGCACTCCGTCCCTCCCCCCGCCGCCCCTCTTCCTGGTCCCAGGTCCCCCCCCGGTAGACCCCCTCCCCCCTCAGGGTCCTGCCCCTTCAGGTGTGTCTCAGGTAGACGCGGTAGAGCCTGTTGAGGTCACTGGTGACTCTGGTGCTGCTGCGGGTGCGGAGCCTCGGGGTGCTGAGACTGGGGGTGCTGAGCCTGGGGGTGCTGAGCCTGGGGGTGCTGAGACTGGGGGTGCTGAGCCTGGGGGTGCTGTGCCTTGGGGTGCTGAGCCTGGGGGTGCTGAGACTGGGGGTGCTGAGCCTGGGGGTGCTGAACCTGGGGGTGCTGAGCCTGGGGGTGCTGGGCCTGGGGGTGCTGAGCCTGGGGGTGCTGCGTCTGGGAGTGCTGCGCCTGCTGCTTCTGTTCCTGGTGGTTCTCCGGACCGTTCTTCGCGCCGCGAGCCGCTCTCTCCTCTGGAGCTGCGTGAGTGGTTTGCCCGGCGCTGGAGGCGAGCTGCTGGAGCTGGGGGTGCTGCGGGTGCTGGAGGTTCTGTTGCTGCCGAGGGAGCTGGTACCGCGGGTCCCGGATGTGCTCGTACTGAGAGTACTGGAGCTGCCGGGCCCGGGGGTGCCTCTGGAGCTGGAGCTGCTGCGGGTGCTGGCGCTGAGACTACGACTGTCGGTCCTACTGAGGGTACTTCTGGTGCTGCTGGAGGTGCTGGAGTTGGAGCTGCTACTGGTGCTGCTGCTGCCTCTGGAGGTGTTGGTGCTGTCCCTGCTGTCTCTGGCGGTGCTGCGCGGCCTCGGCCGTACTTCATTCCGCTCCTTCAGCAGGTTCTTGGTCTCCCACCTTCCACTGGTCCTTCTCCTCCCGTAGAGTGCCCACAGCCTGTCCCGTCGCAGTCACAGTTACAGCCCGCCTCTCCCCTGCCTTCTCCTTCTCCCTACACTGGTCCTACTGGAGGTCTTGCTGAGCGTCGTGAGCCTGCGTCCCGCCCTGCGTCGCCAGTCCGAGCTGCTCGCACTAGTGGTCGCGGTTCGCGTCAGCGTCCTCCTCCTGTCCCTGGCACACACGGGATGTCTCTGCGTCCGTCCACTGCTCCTCTGCGTGCCCCTTTGCCTTCTCCTCCTCAGTCTTCTCTTCCTACACTTGCCGACCCGGAGTCGGACTCTCGCCGTGCTGCCAGACCTACTGTCACGCGTCTTCTTGCTACTCTTGTCACTGACCCTTCCTTTGAGTCCGCTGCTGCGTCTGCCCTAGTTGCTGAGCTGGTCGACTTTGCTGCTGCGTGTCGGCTAGACTACGCTGCCAGTCTTGTTGCTGAGCCTGCTGAGTCTGCTGAGTCTGCGTCTGCTGCGTCTGCGTCTGCCTGTCCTCCGTCCGTCGGGGGTGACTGTGCTCTTGGCACGGACGTCCTTGAGGACAGGCACGAGGAGTTTCAGTGCTTTGCCGCCGCTTTGCCCCATCTCGTGTCCATGCTTGTTGCCCCTGAGGGAGACCCGGATGCTCTTGACATCCCGACCCCAGGCTCTTACGCAGAGGCGATGGCCGGTCCCTACTCCTCTAAGTGGCAGTCAGCCATGGACGCAGAGATGGCTTCCTGGAAGTCCACAGGCACCTACGTTGACGCTGTTCCCCCTCCTGGGGCGAACATTGTCAGTGGCATTTGGATCTTCAGGGTGAAGCGGCCGCCGGGTTCTCCGCCTGTCTTCAAGGCGCGCTATGTGGCTCGTGGCTTCAGTCAGCGACAGGGAGTTGACTTCTTCCAGACCTTCTCCCCGACCCCGAAGATGACCACTCTTCGGGTTCTACTGCACGTCGCTGCTCAGCGTGACTACGAGCTACACTCTCTTGACTTCAGCACTGCTTTCCTGCAGGGCCGCCTGCACGAGGAGATCTGGCTGCGCCGCCCTCCTGGCTTCACTGGGTCGTTCCCTCCTGGTACCCAGTGGAGCCTCCGGCGGCCAGTCTACGGTCTCCGCTAGGCGCCGCGTGAGTGGCACGACACACTGAGGACTACACTTGCGGCTCTTGGGTTTGCTCCTTCTACTGCTGACCCGTCGCTGTTTTTGCGCACCGACACCTCGCTGCCGCCGTTCTACATCCTCGTGTACGTCGACGACTTGGTCTTTGCCACTGCGGACACTGCCGCACTTGCCCACGTGAAGTCCGAGCTGCAGAAGAGACACACGTGCACAGACCTAGGTGAACTGACAAGCTACCTTGGCTTGCGGATCACCCGGGACAGAGCACGCCGCACCATTACCATGACTTAGTCAGACATGGTGCAGCAGGTCCTTCAGCGCTTCGGCTTCACGTACTCCTCGCCTCAGTCCACTCCTCTGCCTACGGGACACTCGCTCTCAGCTCTGCCTTCGGATGAGTCCGTAGAGTCGAGTGGTCCGTATCTAGAGCTTGTGGGCTGCCTCATGTACCTGATGACCTGCACTCGACCTGACCTCGCATACCCTCTCAGCATCTTAGCACGCTATGTTGCTCCCGGCGGTCACCGGAAGGAGCACATGGATGCAGCTAAGAGGGAGTTGCGCTACTTGTGCAGTACGTCGGGCATGGGGCTAGTGCTTGGAGGGCGAGAGCGGCCTGTGCTCACTGGGCACTCAGACTCTTCTTGGGCTGACGACCAGGCTACTCAGCGGTCGTCTCAGGGTTACACCTTCAGTCTTGGCTCTGGCTCTGTCTCTTGGCGCTCTACTCGCTCTTCTTCGGTTCTCAGCTCCAGCTGTGAGGCTGAGATCTACGCCACGGCCATGGCTGCCCAGGAGCTTCGCTGGCTCACCTACCTGCTGACTGACCTTGGAGAGCGGCCTCGTTCTCCTCCAGTGCTGTACGTCGACAACAAGGCAACCATTGCCTTGTGTCAGGAGCACAGACTGGAGCACAGGACGAAGCACATTGCTCTGCGCTACTTCCTTGCTCGAGAGCTGCAGCAGCGTGGTCAGCTTCGCCTGCGTTTCGTGGCCACTGAGGCCAACACTGCTGATGTGTTCACCAAGGCACTTCCGCCTCGTGACCATCAGCGCTTTTGCACTCTGCTAGGCCTTGTGCCCACTGGGCCTCACTTGCTTACCTCTTGACCTTGCTTGTACTGCTGCATATATATATATCCTTGCTCTTGCTTGTTTAGCACTGTTATATATATATGCTCTGCTGCATGTGAACTGGCCTTGTGGCCTTGACCTTGTGCTCGGAATTTGTGTGGTATCCTTGAGATCCACCCTGAGCTTGCTTTGCTTTGCTTTGCTTTACTTGACTGGTCTTGTGACCCCTTGCTCTCCCCCACTTTGCCTATGGGGGTGTGTCAGATGATTATATTGCTGATGCATATATGTAGGCCGTAGTGGGGTAGCCCATAGGGGGTACAACCCAATTAGGGTTGGTACTTGTACTTGTTTCATTTCATAGTGCATCATTCCTCGCCTCTATCTCAACACCTTGGGTCCTAGTCCTTAGTCATTTTTAGCCTACACCCTTAGCCTAGCCTAGTCCTTAGTCATTTCCGCCTAGTTCCCTAGTATGTAAGGGCAAGGAGCCCATTCTCCTTCTCATTGTTTGATGGGGAGTTCATTCTCACTGCAAAAATTGGTAGCTCGCTCGAGAGAGCGAGAGAGAGAGAGAGAGAGAGAGAGAGAGAGAGAGAGAGAGAGAGAGAGAGAGAGAGAGAGAGAGAGAGAGATAGTATATAGTCCTTAGATGCACCCTTTTGAGCTCATTCTTCACTGGTGAGTTCAGTTTACTCCCCAAAACCGGCGGTTCGGCCACGCGTGAGGGGAGACAAGGAAAAGGGACGACAAGGACTATAGCAGCAAGAGGTACAACATGCTGGGGTAGCATTCTACAACAACAGCAACACCCCCGGGCGTGACTACACAGCCATGGGGAAGCCCAAAGCCAGGCCTGCCTCTCAGGCGGCCGGTAAAGGGAAGGCACCAGCTACTCAACCAGGATCCAGCAAAGCCGCCCGTCCAACCAGCGTAGGACGGACGCGGCAGCGGCTACAAGGTCGAGAGGGTCCTCCTGGGCAGACTCGGCAAGCCGTGCCAAAGCTCCAGGGCCGGGCCCGAGGGCAGCCCCGGGGGAGCCCGGCACAAAGCCAATCAGCGGGAGGTAATGCTGCAACTCCTCCGCTGCCGCCACTGCCGCAGTCTGCTCCGCTGGCTGCATTTCCCCGATCTGCACCTCCTGCTGCACCAGAGTCACGTGAAGCTGGTCTAGCACGTACGACAAGAGCGTCAAGCAAGTCCCCACGTGCATCACGCGCTGCTCGACGAGAGTTGGAGGCTGACCAGGAACCACGGCTTGAGGGGGCGGCGGGGCAGGAGGCGTTACTGGAACCCATGGGTGCTGCACAGGGGGGCCTTGGAATGAGTACTGATGGAATGACGAGGGGCCCGACACAGACTGAGGGACCTGAGCGGGCGGAGGAGGGGACGGAGGAACATGGTACACCGAGGAGCGATGCTGATGCGGATGGAGGGGCAAAGGAAACCGACGGAGCGGAGATTGAGCTGGAGGCGGCTGCGCCGCCCGCGGTGGCGGCTGGTGAGGAGTCTGGAGTCGCGGCTGCTGGAGTGCCTGCGGTCCTGGTGTCTGCTGGCGCCTCTGCCGCTGCCTTTGACGCCGGCTCAGTTTCGCCCTCTGCCACCCCGCGGGCTGCACAGGCGGAGGCTGAGGGGACGAGGCTGGGCGCGAGTCCGGAACATACTGCGGAGGCGGCGCTATCCGCGTCACCGGCGCCGGTGTCGCCGACCGTGCTGGCGGCGGCGGTGTCTGCTGCGACTGGGGTGCGAGGCGACGCCCCAACGGCGGAAGGCGCGACGACTGCCGCTGCGAACGTCGGAATGCCTGCTGCTGCCGCGGCCTCAAGGAGGCAGGAGCACGTCCAGGCTGAGGGAGAGACTCCAAGGCCCCCGAACGGCGCCGCCTCCGGCGCTGCACGAGTGATGTCGACGAGGAAGCCGCGGGCCCAGCCAGCGCCGAGACGGCTCGGAGCAGGGCTGGGACCTGGCTCCCCAGGACCCCTCCTGGGCTGGCTTCTGCAAGGGCAACTGCCATCAGAGCGAGTGCATCGGTCGTCATCTGCGCACACGCAAGAGGCACGGGGGGTTTCTGGGCTCAATGAGGCGACAACAGAGGCAACAGCAACCCGTGTGGCAGAGCAGCCGGCGCCAAACCAGGACAGCGGAGCACACACGCACTCACCGTCAAGCCCAGTAGCTCCAACTGCGGCGGCCGTCGCCACTCGTCGCTCAGCTCGTTTGGGTGCTGTCACGTGGGGCCCACCAAGGGGAGGCAGAACGCCATGGATGCCGGCGGGGAGAGCGGGACTAGCGGCGACGCCTCAGCCAGCACTGGCGGCGAACCGGGGTTTCCGCGGTATGGATCGCGGGAGGCGAGGGGGAAGGCGCGGGGGTGTTGCTCGCTTGGGGGGAGCGGAGATCCAGGCACGAACAGGCCCTTGGCGGGAACGCCACGACCGCCCAGAGGTTTTGGAAGCCCCAGCCAATGGGGTCGACACTGAGCCTGCTGAGGACATGGGGGACCCTGAGTTTATGTGTGGAGAGGAGGCGGGCCCGGAGTCCGAAGAGGTGTCTCTGGTTAACGAGGAGGATTTGGGAAGAGGCCGGAATCGAGTGCGAGGGACGGGAGAGGGAGGGGCCAGGGCGACATCCCAGGCTGAAGGAGTATCTGTGCCAGCTCCCACGGTAACCAACGAAGTGAAATCGCCGGCCACCCTGGCAGAGGATGACGCCATCTGGCAAATGGCGGGCACGTGGACTATGGATCTCCTTCAACGGATGGACCAACCCTTCCTAGTCAGACGCTTACCACCCCAAGTGCTGGAAAAATTCTGTTTGTGTCTCCTCGCACCTCTCCTGCGGCTGTCGACGAACCCAGAATGCCCAGGAGCTTGGGCGGTCCTACTATACCTCCCGAGGCTGACACTTCGCCCCCCACCAGAGCCTGTCACTGGAAGTCGGTGGGCAGCGATTGAGGCTCGGTTACATCAGTTCCAGCTGGGAGAGTGGGATGGGTTGTTCGAGGCAGCCTGCACTATCCCCGACACGGGGGGTCCGCTAAGGCATCAAGACGATGACGAAGGGGTTTGCGCAAGAGCGGAGGGTTTGGTTAAAAAAGGTAACATTTTGAAGGCGGTTGCGGCGTTACGCACAAGCCCCCTCGCCGACCCAAGCTCTGCGACCCTGGCTGCCCTACGGGCGAAACACCCACCGTCAAGCGCCCCAACACCAGCATGGGTTACCGGGATCACTGACTCTGAGCTCCGTATCCCACTCGAGGCTCTGCGCGAAATCCTCGCGAAATGCCCGAATGGGGTAGGGGCAGGGCCCTCAGGCAGCTGTTTTGAACACCTACGAGACCCAGCCCTAGCGAACGAGGAGATCCTCCTGTTGCTGACGAACGTGGTAAATCGCCTCGCCGGCTCTTTCCAGAGTCAATCAGTCCGCGACCTCCTACTCCCCTCTCGGCTCATAGCCTTGGAAAAGCCTGGGGGAGGAGTTAGACCAATCGCAATAGGCGAGGCGTTGCTCCGCGTGGTGGCTAAAGCGGCGCTGCACAGCTTAGGCCCGAAAATCCGGGAATTTTTCCTACCCGTACAGTTCGGCGTGGCGGTTCCTGGGGGAGCGGAGTGTATTATCCACGCGGTTCGTTCTCTCCTTAAGGACGACGAGACCCGCGTAGCTCTACAGCTCGATGTGGAAAACGTATTTAACAGTGTAGAACGCGCGTCATTCCTCTCCGCCCTCCAGTGGTCTACTCTCAACACGCTGCTCCCGCTTGTCAGGAACCTCTACGATGGCTCCTCGCGGCTTCTTGTGGACCCCCGTCTGGAAGTGGAGCACATCGTAAGCTCCAGAGGTGTCCGCCAAGGGGATCCGCTGGGGCCTCTTCTTTTTGCGGCAGCAATCCAGCCGATACTACTCAGCGTGGCCACGAGCATACCGGAGGTGGCAATAGTAGCGTATGCCGACGACATCACCATCGTCGGGCCTCGCGAGGCGGCGTGCGTGGCTTTTAACACAGTAGTCACGGAGCTGGCTTCATGCGGATTACGTTGCAACCTTACCAAGTCCGCGGCGTGGTGGGCTTTGTGGGAGGAAGGAGGGGATGGTCTGCCACACGGTCTTCCTGTCCACCCAGGCGGCTTGAAGGTGTTGGGCAGCCCGGTTGGCGGCGACGCCTTCTGCACCGACCAGGTCCGCGGGACGCTAGCGGAGGTGGCGGCGCCGCTACATCTCGTCGCCCAACTCAACCCGCAGCACGCCTTACTCATGCTATCTCGGAGCATCTCCTGCCGCATCTCGTACCTCTTACGCACAACACCAGCGGATGCACTGGCCCGTACGGAGTGGCGGGAGTGGAGCGAGGCACTGGTAGGAGCCGGGCTCGCGGCGTCAAAGCTTCGGATCCCGCCAAGTGAGCTGGAGCAGAGTCTATTGTGGCGCCAGGCCACGCTCCCGGTGCGGCTAGGAGGTTTGGGAATCATTGACCCCATCTCCGAAGCCCCAGCAGCGTACCTAGCCTCAACTGCAGCGGCGCACCTTCTCCTGCAGCAGCTGAACCTGCCGCCAGATTACCTTCTTCACAAGGCCGGGAATCTCCTCTCCCCGACATGGGCCCCACCGCCCCCCCGGGCCAACCCGCTGGCACCGCTTGAGGCCAGGCTCCCAGCGCAGGCTGCAGCAGTCCTCCGCAGCTATAGGGAGAACCCGAAAGGCATGGGCAACCTGCAGCTGGGCCTGTCTAAGGCCATTAACCACACGCGGGCGGAAGAGCTGCTCGCAGATACGGTCACAGATAGGCCGGGGGTGGACAGGGGCCATGAAATTCGGCTAATTAGCTTGAAAGGAGTGGGAGCAGGTGACTGGCTCCATGCAGTGCCAACGAGGGCTGACCTCTCAATCTCCCCTGGTCAATTCTCCATGGCACTGGGCCTGCGCCTTGGCATGGAGTTGTCGAAATATTTTGTCATGATTTATAATTGCTTGTAGTTGTAGTTAGTGTAGTTATGTAAACTTTTGTTGGTGGTGCACCTTATTGTGTTTCTATGCTATATGTACCCCTGAACCTATAGTGAAACGCACCTTTTCACCAATTTCTCTCAACTCACTCGATACATCGCTCCTAGGGAAAATCCCGCTCGATACCTAAGTTCGGGCCTAGGCTACTAAGCCTAGGCCCCACCTCTTAACTTACCTATTACTCTCGACATGGTATCAGAGCTTAGTGTTCGTCCTGGCCTGTGGGCCCGCTTTACTTCCGCTGCTAAGATTTTACGGTCGCGCGCCTAGGGCGCGTGACGGTTTTATTTTTACCTTGTCCCGCCCACGGGCGTGTGACTCCTTCCCTGCCCGTCGCGCGCCCCGTGGCACGCGACGGTGCCCTTCTACTGCCCATCGTGCGCCCCGTGGCACACGATGGTGCCCTGCTCGTCGTGTGCCCCGAGGCACACGATCGGGCCCTTTTATTCTACCCGTCGTGCGCCCCGTGGCACTGGCCCGCGACGGGCCTTTCCGCCCCTGCACTCCCTGCTGCCGCCCCTGACCCATCTGCACCGACGCCTCTTCGCCGCTCTGCGGCTTTCTTCCTTCCCACCCCCCCCTTTCTCTTGTCTCCCTGCAGCCGTGGGGAGGAGGGTATGGGGGTGGAGGGTGTTGGAGCGTGGGGTCAACTCTCTCCCTTTCCCTCCTCCTTCTTTCAGTCCCACCGCTGCAGCTGCCGCTGGGGGGGGGAGGGTGTGAGGATGTGGGTGAGGAGGGGGAGTGGTACCGGGGTGGCGGGTGTGAGGCAACAAGCAGCCGTCCCTCCACCTCTCCTCTCTTCCCCCCTCTCTGCTGCTTCTGCAGCAGTGTGGGGGAGGGGAAGGAGGAGGGTGAGGAGATGGAAGGGGTACCTGCTGTTGCTGTAACTACATACCTACCTACAAGCATTATGGGGGCGTGTCGAAATATTTTGTCATGATTTATAATTGCTTGTAGTTGTAGTTAGTGTAGTTATGTAAACTTTTGTTGGTGGTGCACCTTATTGTGTTTCTATGCTATATGTACCCCTGAACCTATAGTGAAACGCACCTTTTCACCAATTTCTCTCAACTCACTCGATACATCGCTCCTAGGGAAAATCCCGCTCGATACCTAAGTTCGGGCCTAGGCTACTAAGCCTAGGCCCCACCTCTTAACTTACCTATTACTCTCGACAGGAGTTACCGGTAGCGGAGGTTTGCCCCTGCAGGAGATCCAACTCCTCTACTGCTGACAAGAGCCTGCCGAACCATCTGCTCCGTTGTGCCGACGGCGGGGATGCGGTGCGCACCCACAACGCCCTGGTTTTTGCAGCCCTCCGCATGGCGCAGGAAGCAGGGTATAGGACCTTCCACGAGACGACTGCCTTCTCTCCCCCTGTAGCGAGTAAGCTAGCGGACCTCGCCGTTCGGGACCCGGAATCAGGGGAGACCTGGGCGACAGACGTGACAGTCACGGACCCGGTCCTGCAGAGGAGGGATGTGAGGGCACGGAAGCCGCCAGGATGGGCAGCGGAGGAGGCGTCGCAGACAAAACATCGGCTCTACGTAGGGCGCCCTGGATACGTCGGCTTCTTTGGTTTGGCAGTTGAGACCTATGGGGCCCTGGCGGCCGACACCCAGCAGTTCCTCCGTATGCTAGCCAACTATGCGGCACGGAAGAAATACCGCCAGGGGCGCCTCACCACCACTGCCGCCCGCCTTAATGCACACTACAGGCAGCGGTGGTCGGTCATGCTTCAGCGCAGCCAGGCGACTTCACTCCTATCTAAGTCGAACAGGGCGGCCGAGGCGGCATTCCCACAGGCGCCGGCAGACCCCTGGGCCCCCTGGCTGGGGGACCTCTGGCAAATGCAAGAGGATGAGTACGAGGAGCGTCAAGCCCCTGCCAGAACGGCTTAGAGGGCGGGGAGGGAGTGGGAGTGGGGGAGGTTTAGCCGGACGACGGCAGGAAGCTGCGTATGGGGAAAGGGACTGTGGACAGAGAGGCAGGATCAGTGGGGGGAGTCCAGAAGCAGGAGGACTATAGGGACAGGGTTTGGTGGCCTTGGTACTGGCAGGCTCGTTCGTCCTAGTGTGTGGTGGCCTGTTTCAACATCTGGAGAGCTGGTTCTCTGTGTTTTGCTAGTTGTTCGTTTGCCTAGCTTGCTGGTCTCGCTATGTTGGACTCACGATTGCTTGCACGTTTAGACCAAGTGGTAGCTCCTTGCTTGTACCTTGCGAACCATGTCAATACATGACTGCTTGAGAGAGAGAGAGAGAGAGAGAGAGAGAGAGAGAGAGAGAGAGAGAGAGAGAGAGAGAGAGAGAGAGAGAGAGAGAGAGACCCTTGGATCCTAGTCCTTAGTCATTTTTAGCCTACACCCTTAGCCTAGCCTAGTCCTTAGTCATTTCCGCCTAGTTCCCTAGTATATAAAGGTAAGGAGCCCATTCTCCTCCTCATTGTTTGGTGGGGAGTTAATTCTCACTACAAAAATCGGCGGCTCGCGGCGCTC